TGACATAATTGTTTAGTAGTTAATTAGGTCAGTGCTCAGCTATTGGTTAGATTGGCAGTGATATTAAAGGTGGGAAGATTGAGTGTATGTTTTGTGCACAAATGACCCAAACATAGATCTCTGCCAATATTAATGCTAGAGCTGGGCCGTATTACAACTCTGTCAGTCTAGCCAAAGATGTTGAGAGTGCCACACCTCATCAGTTTCACATAGACATAACTCAGGAATGGCAGATATTTCATACACAAGAGACATTAATTTGAAACTCTTGAGAATAAAAGGTCTGATGAATAGGATAATGACGAAATGACAGCAAGCTTTCATTACAATATTTAGATAAAGGTTCCGGTGTAGTCAACCCGACTGTTATGACTTGCAGACACTAACCTGGCAATTTCTTCTGGAAAAACAAAACAAAAAACTAGAGCTTTCATGAGCTGAACTTGCTGAAATTGTGCAACGATATTTTTTTTGGTTACTAGAATGTTTTTTTTTTTTTTTACTTGCCGGATTCAATAGAACACAACAACACCAATTTGAAATATAATTTAATTTCCGTAAAACTAATTGTGAGGACAAGTTATTGGCTGAAGGGTTTTGAAAAGGAGCACTCTGAGCAATAGTGGTACGTATACGCCATTAACATTGACATTTTGTATGTGCTATTCAGGGTCTGAAATGATGATCTGAAACTGATATAAGCAAATATTCTGCAAGGATCATTTCAATCTTGAATTAAGTGTATGTTTGACCAAAGGTCATTAATGATGAAACTGCTCTCTGATTTGTAAAATTCTAATATGGTGCAGGCCCTCTTTCCTGTTAGCATTACTCGACTTCCTGTAGCAGGCTTAGGTTATGCTGCTTGGCACGGTAATCTCTCCCATGTTGGTTTAAAGGCTGACTGAGTCTGGAGTGTGGACATGCACGTCTGACTCATTCCAGGGCCAATCCCTGCTCAGCACTCCTCTCATGAGCAGACAGATGGTGGAGGGTAGATTAGCAGGCCTAGGGTCCTGGTAGAAAAGCAGATATTGCTAAAAACGGACCGATATGGTAGTACCATCTCAGCTCTGGGTAAATCCCAATGCATTTGGAGAGGAAAATTGCAGGCCACACAGTAGTGGAACCAAATGCATTAATTCTACATTCCAGTATAATGGCAAAGATGTTAAAATGATAAAGATGTATTTTACGCAATCTCTGGAGAAATTCAGTAAATATAAGTAATGTATATAACAGGGAATCAGTAACATTTTACATCTCATTAATAGCCCCTGTTAGCAGTAGTCAAAGTGGGGTGACGCGTCAATCTCATGAACGATTTTTTATATGACTCGAGAGTGATTAGTTGTTTTTTTGTGTGACCAAACATGTGCAACCTCCTTTCATTCATGAACAAAACGCCTCAGGTGAACTAATCAATTCTGTTTACTGTACACAGCACATGTGGCATATGCGATAAAAGAACGAAGACCCAATTGAGTCGTCAAGCAGTCATCAATCATTTCTCATGATTTGCCTTTGGCTGCATTATCATGATTTTCTAATCCGGAATATGATGAAAGTTTGCAAAAACAGACATATTCAGGTTATCTGGATATTAGGGAAAAAAATAACTCTGCTCAAATACACAACATGACTTGAATAAAGTTTTGTTTATTTTCCTGAATGATATTCAAAGATCCAAGACAGTAAAATAATCTGATTTTCACTTCACTACAGTCAGTGAGTAGAACTTTCTTATAGTGCATCACGTAAACATTACAAGAAGGTGCCAAAACAAATGCAGCATTAAAAGGATAGTTCACCCAATAATTTGAAATCCCAAACCTGTATGACTTTCTGTCATCTGTGGAAAAAACAGTTTTTGACCACAGAATTGCTGTTTTGACCCTAATGACTTTCATTTTACAGACAAACAGTTTTAAAAAATATCTTCCACAAAAGAAATAAAGTTATACAGGGTTGGGTTGACATGAGAGTACATAATACCAGAAACTGATTTTTTTCATGACCTATCCCTGCACTATATGATGAACGGTGACAAACTCAACAGGTATGCAAAGCTATATGTTTGACAACTGTATACATGCAGACAGCCATAAATGGGACCTGTGGTCCTCTACCAATTATTACAGCAAAGAGGAAGTGATGCTTTGGTATGGTAAGAAAGGACACAGTCACAACTCTTATGCTGAGGAACACAAATGAGGAACAGTGTTTGTCTCCTTGGTCAGTATCAAATCCTGTTGCAAGTGGTTTGAAAGCATAAACGAAGATACAAAAGATTTCTCTGTCTGCAGTAGTTCAGTTTAGAATCACTTCTGAACACTATTTGGTCATAGATGCATCTCAAATCAAACATTACTGCATAATACTTGAGTCAGAAAAGTATCTAATTTGTTTACATGCATATAAAGAGATGGACGAGCGCATATGAATCCATTTGGGTCATAAAGAGGGGGACAACCCAATCTCTAGACTAAGAGGTCAGCTGGTAGTATAAATGTGACTTCCTTTCTAGTGTGAGTATCTGGCTTTACACACCATCAAGCAACCAAGTATAAGTTAATCTAAAATCAATCGGTGGTCCTTCTGCTATTTGTGGGGGACCAATGGTGGTCTTCTGCTCTGCTTCAATGCTTGTTTCAAGATGAAGAGTGTTTCTGTTCAACACTTAAAAGCACGGAAGAACAAAAGAAAAGGCTAGTTTGGTGATTGGAATAGTGTATTGTTGAACTGAGGGAAGTGAGTTTCATGCCAGACAACAAACTTCTAAATGCAACATAAAAACAACACACTCCCAGAAAGTGGTCCTTTGAGAAGAACTTCATAATTATGTTTCTTATCTTGTTGCAAGTGTTAGGAGAGCTTTGGTATCAGAAGCGAGATAAGAACTTCAGCACTCCGAAGTACAATGGCATTATCGTGGTGACGGCCCACAACAACATTTTATTGCTCTGGATGTCTTATGTCATAGGGCAAAGCTGAGGATCATTAGGATGGTACCTTATTTCGAGATGAATGGGAACTCTGAAGTGGGGGAAGGCAGGCTGCTATCAGGGAAGGGTGGTCCTCAGGGGAACTATGGACTCACAAAAGCACATCTGCTGTAACAAGACCCCAGTCGAATCTACAAAAGTTACAAAGAGAAGCATGGTTGTTCGAAGTAAAAAACTGACTGCATTGCAAGATGCGTGTCACATCACATTAAATCACAGTTTGGTGCATAGTTACTATTTGCTTATCTTACAGCAACTTTATGAGTGTTTATGAGGGGGAATGGACATTTGGCATTTTTTGAAAAAAATGCTGGGGGGTGGGAGGAAGAGACATTATTGATGAGTATATGTACTGCTTGTAGATAAAAAGCTTTTAGACCTTCTTACTTTTGGGATTATATAAGTATTTTCTCAATAAATATCTCATATTTAATTGTGGTTTAACTGCTGAATCTAAAATTTTAATACAAAAGTAGTTATATTTGTTGTGCATTGTTAAACTATAACTTAATTTCAGTTTCAGAGAAACTCGTGTGCACAAAATGTAAAAAATGTTTCCTGTTAAATGTATTGAAGACAAAAGAAAAAAAATAATATAAGCCACAAAATCACACTGTCCTTAGTATCAGCAAGAGATTTTGACATAATCAGCTGTTTTTGTTTATAACTGCCATTGAAGGCCATGTGCATTACTCCCAAGTTACACATTAAAAAGTCACATGTAGCTTCCAGACATCACTGCTGTTCAAGCACAGCCTTATCTATTATTCAAACTGTGGCACTATATAAAATATGCCAGAAATATTTGTATGTAATGAAGTTGACCATGAATGCCTTCACTTCACAAAGAAAAAATTTTCTCAAGATTTATTATAATTATATATCTCCCCAACAATTTATGTCAAAGTTATTTTGTCTGTATGGATGATATATCAATAATGTGTAATATATTTTTGAATGAGAAACCAGACTTGCCTTGAAACATCTACAAGAAGGCATTTCAATGATCAAGACCTAGGCTTGAATGCTAACAGTAAAGGTCATGCCTAATACAGTTGCAGGAAAAAGTATGTGAACCCTCGTGTCTTCTGCATAAATTTGTCAAAAATGGACAACAGATAAACAAAAATACAATGAGCAAGATGAGATTTTGAATTTGCCATTTACAAGAAGCATTGTCTGATGTCAACTATGCTTCTCTACACTTAAGATTTGTTGACAGAAATCCATGGCAAATACAAAGGTTCATATACATACTCTTGCAACTGTATAAATATGGGTTACGCCTACTTACAGCCATCAACAACTACTATCACTCCTTTTATCATCATCACGTAACATGCACACACCTAAGCATGTAGTAATATTACTCCTGTAAATTTTGCGTAGGCAACTTACAATTACAGGAATGCAAGCCTGATTCATTCCAAGTTTCACTACACTTTCTTTGACAACATTAACTTACCTAATGAACTAGTAGCTCCTACAGTATACAGTCATGTCACTTATCCTCATTTCAATGAAAAATACCCCTATTTTGCATTGAGAAGTACTTGGTAGATAACCACAGATACATATTACGGCATTATTGCGAATACAATCAGAGGTAAATGACCTACAGAGCTGCTGCTGTGTTAGATTGTAAACACAGCACAGGATCAAGGTGTCCACCACTATGACCAATACTAGCACTTGTAACCTTTGCACAGACTATTTGAAAGGCTGAAAAGAGCCTTATTGGCGTTATCACAACAAAATACGCAAAACAATGTATTGAACTTCGCAAATAAAAACAGCAGTTTTGATCAAAATCGCTTAGGCCTTGCTCTTCAAATAGTCCACCTTCCCCTTCTTTCAGTCTCAAATTGCAAGAAGCAAGTGTAGCAATGTGCACGCGACAGCCGGGTGTGTGACGCTGGACCAATCAGAGCGCAGAGCTCCGAAAGTTTACCTTTTATGGCTAGAGCCGGGCATCTGCCGTGGTATAAAAGAGCGTGTCCAGCCTTTCAGCCTCACTTTGAGCTCCTCCACACGCAGCTAGTGCGGAATATCATCTGCTTGTAACCCATTCTCTAAAGTCGACAAAATCCCCCAAACCTAAGGTGAGTTGATTTTGTTTTAAGCCTTTTAAGTATTTTCTTACATTTTCAGCTCGGTAATATCAATTCAAACGTTTAATTAGAATGTTTAAATAAAGCCAGATTAAGTTATTAGGCGCAGTTACCGGGCTTTTTTTTCAGTTACGTGCGAATTTTGCTTCAAAACTCCAGTTATTCTTTATTAATGTGGTTATTTTTATATATATATGTTCTCATAACTGTACTGGATATGTCAGGTGGAAATGACTACCCGTTGTAGGCACGACGTTGAATGGGCCGGTGTTGAAATACGTCTTCAACCCTTTTAACCTCAAGATGTGCTCTGGTTAACAATGATTTAACGGCTATAAGTATGACTTCACAGTTTTAAAGATGTTAGTGAGGCACGTTGCACACTTGATGGATAGCCGGCATGTGAAGTTCTTTATGCAGGCAGTGCTGCAGCAGGGTGTGACCTACTTTAGCTAACGTTAGCCGGCTAACCAGCATTCATCTGCCGTTAACCAGACGAGTCTAATAATCTCTCGTTTGATGTCTAACGTTAAGTGATCAAAGACACGTCTGTTAGCTCGCTTTCAGCACTTGTAGGGAAAAATGGCGTTTTATAGCGTAGTGTGCAGTCCTTCAGGCTTTCATTTAGGCTGATTAAGATTAAAGTGTTTTATTCACTATTAAAGCGTTACTAAATACAAGGTAGTCGGTTTTAATAACTGGTGAAAAGTACTGGTTAGGTTTAAATGGTGGTTTATAATGGTGTCGGAGGATTAAAAAAAAAACTTCATTGATAAAGGCTATATAAAATGAATAAGCTGAGGAAGATAGTTCACAGGTGCTTTAGTGGGAAGTCTGCTCGTGAGGAGTCATTGAAGTAACTGCAGATCTGTGACGCAGTTATTTTGGGCAGACGCCCGTTGAAATTAGGTTGAGTAATTGATACCAGGCGAGGAAGGATAGCGGATGTAGAATTTAGGGAGTGGCCCTGGCGTGATGAATGTCGAAATCCGTTCCTTTTTACTGAACCCTATGTCTCTGGCTGAGTGCCACACCGCCGGCAGCCGCAAAGCTGCTCAAACCATTGCCTTTTATGGTAATAATGAGAGAATGCAGAGGGACTTCCTTTTGTCTGGCATATCTGAGGCGCGCATTGTCGCTAGCACCCACTAGCGGTCAGACTGTAGATTACAGCACGAAACAGGAAGTTGACTCCACATGCTCACTGAGGCTGTTCCTTGACCGCTGTGCACTTCTAAACGGGTTTTCTCATTCACTTACAGTTCAGCCATGGATGATGAAATTGCCGCACTGGTTGTTGACAACGGATCCGGTATGTGCAAAGCCGGATTCGCTGGAGATGATGCTCCCCGTGCTGTCTTCCCATCCATTGTGGGTCGCCCCAGACATCAGGTGAGAAACGGGATTAATTTCAGGCTGCCCAATAATGAGAATTATTTTTACGTTCTAGTTGCTTAACGTTGCTCTAAATTTAACATGATTTTCTCTCTTTACAGGGTGTCATGGTTGGTATGGGACAGAAGGACAGCTACGTTGGTGATGAGGCTCAGAGCAAGAGAGGTATCCTTACCCTGAAGTACCCCATCGAGCACGGTATTGTCACCAACTGGGATGATATGGAGAAGATCTGGCATCACACCTTCTACAACGAGCTGCGTGTTGCCCCAGAGGAGCACCCCGTCCTGCTCACAGAGGCCCCCCTGAACCCCAAGGCCAACAGGGAAAAGATGACACAGGTTGGTTTTTGGCTAGAAAATGGCGCTTGGAAGTCTCTAGTCTGTCCTGTTACCTCATTTTACGTTCTCCTGTTCATTCATTCACTTCCTCCAGGCTTTGTGTCCTCTGAGCTCCTGAGTTTCTCCTCTTTTGCTGGAAGCAGCAGGTTTTTCTAATCGTTCATCTCTCTACAGATCATTGCCCCACCTGAGCGTAAATACTCTGTCTGGATCGGAGGTTCCATCCTGGCCTCCCTGTCCACCTTCCAGCAGATGTGGATTAGCAAGCAGGAGTACGATGAGTCTGGACCATCCATTGTCCACCGCAAATGCTTCTAAACGGACTGTTACCACTTCACGCCGACTCGAACTGCGCAGAGAAAAACTTCAAACGACAACATTGGCATGGCTTTTGTTATTTTTGGCGCTTGACTCAGGATCTAAAAACTGGAACGGTGAAGGTGACGGCAATGGTTTTTGGCAAATAAGCATCCCCGAAGTTCTACAATGCATCTGAGGACTCAAAATTTTTTTTTTTTTTTTAGGTCATTCCAAATGTTTGTTAAATGCATTGTTCCGAAACTTATTTGCCTCTATGAAGGCTGCCCAGTAATTGGGAGCATACTTAACATTGTAGTATTGTATGTAAATTATGTAACAAAACAATGTCTGGGTTTTTTTTCTTTCAGCCTTAAATTTTTTTTTTTTTTTTTTCTTTTGTTCCAAAAAAAACGAAGCTTTACCATTCAAGATGTAAAGGTTTCCATTCCCCCTGGGCATATTGTAAAAGCTGTGTGGAACGTGGCGGTGCCAGACATTTGGTGGGGCCAACCTGTACACTGACTAATTCAATTCCAATAAAAGTGCACATGTGTAAGACATCCTACTCTGTGTGATTTCCTGTTTGTGCTGAATGAACTTACTCTGAAGTCTTTTAGCAGACTCTTTAAAAGTAGTCTTCCTTTAAAGTGTTGTATGGGCCTTCACATTTCTCAATTAGATGTTCAATTGGAAATCACTTTAGTGAAATGGACACGGGTTATCTTGACCTGTTAAATGTAAAATTAGCTGGCTTTAACAAATCAATAGTTTTGAAACCTCATTCTCAGAATAGCTTATGCAAAATAACTTGCTCTAAAATGATTTGAGAATATCAGACTAAAGTAGCAACATAAATGCGTTTACCCAACTGTACATTCTGTGATGCATTTCCACAAATCATTACAAGTGGTTTTCAAAACTAAATGTTCTCAGAAATTCTCAGCCCTCATTAAATTTCCATGGGATAAAGTTATAGCAAGGCTTTGTGTGAGGACACCATTTAAAACGTTTTAGAGGTGTCTGCCACCATGGTTGACATATAACTGATTCTGCATATAAACACTATTTAAAAATATATATTAAAAAAAAAGGTTGCCAAACATTACTTTGGGGCATTTAAAGTACATTGGAGAATAATCAAGCTCCAATTAAAAGTTTTTATAGCTAGCTGACCCAAGGGGCTAACAAATTACTTGTAACTTCATTCCTATCTGAACTATTTAACATGAAACCGTTTCTTATGGTATTAGGGAACAGTTGTGAATGCATAATTGTTCTTTTATATTGAAGTCTGAACACCTATTTCTGAGAAATCATTATGCCACGGTCTGATGGTGCTGATTTTTAGTTTGTGCTTCACATAACGGTACAGCAGATGGCGCTACACTCACAGCAAACTAATTTCTTGTTGCCTTGCTTTAAGAAAACGCCCACTAATCTAAGAGACCAATGGTAACTCAAGGTGCAAGAGAATCAGTGTTTTCTCTTGGGAAGAATAAAACATTTATTTTTAGTAAAATATGAAATGGAAAAACAAAACGTGGCACATATCTACCGTAATTTGTGCAGACAATACTCTAACTGGCTGCTGTAGGTTGATTCTGGTGCTCGAACTTTGGTTATTGATGCAGTAGATACTTATAAATATGGGTGGCCTAGTTGCATATGATTTACTGCAAGCTGCTCCTCGTCTGACAGCACTTGATGAAAAATAAAGAGATTTTCCTGCTGTGTACAACTGCTCACGCGTACAGCATAATACAGATTGTGCTTTATTAACAGCCGAGGTAACTTTCGGTGTACTGAATTACACCAAGCTAAATCAATATTCATTATTTATCTAACCTACAAACAATAATGTCTTTTTAGATGTAATTTAGCTGTATCTTTTATTACCACTGATGTTTTTTTTTTTTGTAAAGCTTGCCTTAAAGGGGTCATATGATGTTGCTAAAAAGAACATTATTTGGTGTATTTGGTGTAATGAAATGTGTTTATGCGGTTTAAGGTTATCGTGCCGCGTAAACATAAAACCATGTCTGCATTTGTGATTGGAGAAATGACAAACAACAAGCGCTTCTCTACACTGCCCAAAACTCGCGTTTGAATCATCAGTGGCAAATGATAAAAGAAAACGTACTTACGTGAGTCAGAACTGCCGGCATTTTAGTCTAACGTTACTCTTCCAGGATCAGTAAACAGTCCTCCATAAAATGTGCTGCACACATCTGAATATTTGGGTTGAAGTGTTCTGGAACAGTGTTGTAAATACAACTTAACCACTGATTTCTAGTCGTGTCCATTTTTGGAAGGCCAAACAAAGTAGTTTCGCTTTCACAATGAAAAACACAGCGGCCTAGCGTGAGGGGAAGCCCCGGCTTAGCGTGCACTGAGGCTGGGCTAGAGTGAGCTGAGGCGGGCTGGACTCCGCTTCGTCCACGGTGAAAGCTGATCCGGTGATCCACAGCGCAAAGTTGTTGTATTTCCTCAGCGACCAGCACAGATCAGCTCTAGGCATGACGAAGCGGATATCGTCCTCTTTTGAAAGTAGTTTCGCTTTCACAACGAAGCACACAGCGTCTTCACGACATGGCTGCAGTGTCAACAATACTACAGCGAGAATAAAAGTTACGTCTTCTTTCTTTGCGTGAACATTTGGTGGCGTTATGCAAATCTTCCCACAGAGCGATGTAGGTATGTTGGGGCGTGTTAGAACGAGCCGTTTTAGGTAGGTGTGGTTGACTCTTAACTTTTATAAAGAATATCTCTTTGGATTTGAGACTTTAGTCTTTGCAACTTTACAGATCTTCTTTATGCACCAAGAGCTTGTAACACTCCAACGAGAAAGGAAAAATTGAAATCGCATCATATGACCCCTTTAAATATTTTATTCATTTAGCAGCAAACATAAATGATTTACAAATGCATGAACAAATACAAACCTTGTGAATTTCATAATCAGCCGAGTTCATCTGAATTTGCTCTCTACCCCCAACACAAGCACACAATGTCATTCTTCCCTTCAACTTAGCCTCCCACGTACATTCATGCATCCCACGGGGACTTGTGCCTCAGCAAACGCCCGCGTGCGTCGACTTGATTGTGGTGCGGTATGTTCACGCAGGAACGCAGGCCACGCGCGAATGTTCCCCTCCATTCATGATGAAATAATTACACAGAGGAACAAGCCACTAATAAGTGAGTAGTGGGCGACAGAGACATTAGCATTCACAGCGCTATTTCTCATTGATTGCGCAATTATTCGAGAGACTCATTTAGTCCTGTCCCACAGACATGAGCATTTATGATTGATTGCTTAATGCAAAACAGACTCAAGGATGTTTTAATTTTGTTGTGATTTTGTAATGAACAGAAGCGAGGGCTGCTGCCGGAGGTGTTTTATTTTCATATTTTCTGTTTTTTTTTAACTTAAATGATTTAGTAAATGTTGTTGTGTTATGTCATTCTTATTTTTAAATGTCTATAGCCTATATTTGTATTTTTTGTATTAATTATTTTACATATTTAGTTAATTATTGTTTCAGTTTGAGTTATTTTAGTACATCAACTTAAAATTGCCTTTGCAGCTGAAACAATGTTTTCAATAAATATCTTTTAACAATTAACCACCAATTAACTTATTTTCTTTGTAAAATTCTTTTTTTAAATATTTTTAAATGAATCAAATCTGCTGTCACCTAACCCCGAAATAAACTGAAATATTTCATTAAAATCCAGTCTGTCCTATACAGTTTTTATTCATTATAATTTTAGTTTTAGTTATTCAAATTTAATGAAAATGAGAAATGGTGCCTTGGCAACTAATTGAAATAAAATAAGTTTTTTTTTATAGTTTATTTCAGTTATTTTATTTTTAATTTATTTCACAATTAAACATTTTTTTCATTTATGTCATTTTTTTTAACAAATGAATTCTGCTGTCACCTTACCCCAATATAAACTAAGCTATTTCATTAAAAGTCAGTCTGTCCTATATAGCTGTTTTTAATTATTATTTAGCTATTTTAGTACATCAACAAACTAAATAAAAAGAACAAATGTTGCCTTAACAACTAGCTGAAATAAGATTGAAATGAAGGTTTTTTATGGTTTTAGTTTTAGTTACCTATAATAACCTTGATTCTGCAGCTGAAACCTTGGGAGAGGAGAAATGATCTGATTTTCGACTACATAAATATCTGGGCTGCCAGATGCTCAGTATCTGTGATGATCTAGGCTTTTTCTAACTTCAAGAAATACATCTTTTCATCATATGGTGAAGTATAATTGATTGGTTACAGTGTCCTTGTAAAGTTTCATTTGAAAAGAACATCTTCCACTTTTAGTACAGAGTCCCATTTCCCGCAGAGCCCAAGGGACAGTTATAATGACAGGTAACTCATCATTAGGAGACAGTTCTGCAATATGTTACAATAATTATGAGAAGCCGCTTAGATGCTTCTCCTTTTGCTCTTTATATTTTTATTTCAGTTCATATGAAATACAAATGACTGCTTGACACAAAAAGAAATTTGTATTATGAATGTATTCTCTTTCTAGAATTATATGTAAAAATATTTTATAAATCAAATCTGCTATGTCACCTAACCCCAAAATAAATTAAACTATGTCATTAAAAGCACGGAGAATGTGCCGCAGTCAAGGAAATTGAGAAAGATGTTGTCTGAAGTAATGGATAATCCACGAGGGGAACCAGATGCATTCTGTCCTTTGAGCAGTTTAACTCTGGCCTCAAATAAAAAATATTGAGAAATTGAGACAAGCCATCTGGATGTCAAATCTTCAGCTATTCTAATAAATAATATCTCATCTTTCATCTTCTAGTCTTGGAATAATAAATCAAATCATGCAAATAAATAGATGCTTAATTCCAAGTTCAATTTGCTTGCAGATTAGAGGCTTTCTGAGCCGTTGAGGGATTCTATACAATGTCCCTATTCACTGGATGTCACATTCATCATTGCTTTCATTACAGCTCTGCACAGGCTCGGTACGCTCTCCAGCTGCATTTCGCGCGTCATCAGTGACGTCATGTGCAAACAACCTATTGAATGATGGGCAGGAAGTTGCTTTTCACTGTCATTCTACAAAGTCAAGGTGTTGTGATCATCGCTGCATTTCTTTGACTTGTACAACAAACACTGTCATGCCACTTAAAAAAAGTATCAAACCAAGGATTACGGCTAATCGTAAATCATTTTACACTGTCAATAAACGTGACCAGGGTTGCCAGGTTTTCACAACAAAACCCGCCTAATTGCTACTCAAAACTAGCCCAAAACTACAAAACGCGGCAAGTGTTAAAGTAGCCCAATTCCGCGGGAAAAACGCGGACTTGGCAACACTGAGCGTGACTGATACTCGAGCCAACTGTCGACTAAATCAGTCAGAAGATAAATGGCTAAAGATTTGTTAACTCATATTCATAAATTCTCAAGGGAACGTCTCTGAATTAACTGATGCTCGCGCCGGCCCCACAGGTTGAAACCCCCTGCGTTAAAAAATAAAAAATATCCACCTAAAAAAATGGTACCAGTGTTCCAA